GACAGGATGAGGTAAATACGCCTTTATGAATGGGACCAATGTTCCTTTGAAAGCTGCTTTATGCTTGTTCCTTGCAGTGCTGGGACATGAGGGGAACAGGGGAGAGCTTAGACATGTTGCCCACTGGAAACCTCTGCCCGACAGCTTTGTTCTGTGAGAAGATGAAAACCTGCTCTGTGCCACAAAGAAATATCCTGCTGTTTAGTCTCCAGTGACAGCACAGCTCAGCTTTCCAGGGAAATGTGCTGCAGTAGGACTAGTGAGGATGCTGTGGTTCCATAGGATGGTGATGCTCCTTTTGCCTGCAAAATCCCAGATACGTTGATGGTTGGACTTGATGATCTGAAAGGTCCCTTCCAACCCAGACAATTCAATTCTACTCTAAGTAACATGAGGCTTTTCTTGCAAATTCCTTACTGGTTTTTTTGTTGTTTTTATTCTCCTTTGTGCAGGATGCTGTGGTTCCATAGGATGGTGATGCTCCTTTTGCCTGCAAAATCCCAGATACGTTGATGGTTGGACTTGATGATCTGAAAGGTCCCTTCCAACCCAGACAATTCAATTCTACTCTAAGTAACAAGTAACATGAGGCTTTTCTTGCAAATTCATTACTGGTTTTTTAGTTGTTTTTATTCTCCTTTGTGCTGTTCTTTCAGGATGAGTGTTGTTCAGTGAGTAGGGTACTGAGTTATTGCTTTGGTGAAGGAAATTATACGGAGTCACCATCCCTGGAGGTATTTAAGAAACGTGTAGACATGGTTCTTCAGGGCATGCTCTAGTGCCCAAGATTGCTGGTTTGTGGTGGGGTGCTGTGTGGGTGGGTGATGGTTTTTGGTTTGGTGGTTGTTGTTGTGTGTTTAGGTGGTGGGTGGTGGTTTGTGTTTTTTGTGTGGTTTTTTTGTTGTTGTTGTTGTTGTTGTTTTTTTTTTTTGTTGGTTGGACTCGATGATCTCTGAGGTCCCTTCCAACCACTACGATTCTGTGATTCTGTGACTTCTTTCAGGGTGAGTGGTGTTCAGTGGGTAGGATACCGAGTTATTGCTTTGGTGAAGGAAATTATGCTCCTGGACTTTCTACTCTACCGCATGATTACGAGGGACTAATTTTATCTTTTGTATCCCAGTTTCCCAATCGATACCCTCATGCTAATGACATTTAAGTTTTTGGAGTAAAAATTTGAAGTCTACAGATATAAAAGGATTATAGCTCTATGTCATGTAGAAATATCCTGCAGAATCTAGCAAAATTGCCATACTATTCTGAGAGGAAAACCCACGCATATCTATCTATCCAAATATAGATATGTATGAACCTCCAGAATGTACTCTGTAGTTTTTGCAGGATTTTGCAAATTCTAAACTGGCACTGAAAATAGAATAAAGTTCAAATTCTGCTTGCCTTACACATGTATGAAATGAGCAGTTGTACTACGGTGACGGGCTGCCAAGTTTTGAACAATGGGGTCTTTCAGAAATGTTCCTCCTCATCCAGTGATAAACTCTGTGTGGTGACATGTGTGTGCACACAGAGATGAGAGGCACTGGGCAATGGATGCCTTTGTTTTTTTAGTTTTTAAACCCAAATGGCTTTTTTAGAACCCAGAAGCCAGGCAGCCTGTTGTCACCCCCCTAATGTTGTGTACTTTCTGTTCATCTAGGCACAATATGGTGCTTGCGACTTTCTTTGGTACTAACATTACTAATATAAAAAGATGCAGTCAGAGGGTTAACAATATCACAGAATCACAGAATGCTATGGGGTTGGAAGAGGCCTCTGGAGATCATCTAGTCCAACCCTCTGCCAGAGCAGGGTCACCCAGAGCAGGTCCCACAGGAACGTGTCCAGGTGGGTTTGAATGTCTCCAGAGACGGAGACTCCACCGCCTCTCTGGGCAGCCTCTTCCCAAACCTCCAAACCTTGTGGAAGTGAAGGGATAACCAACTCCAAGTGTCATCCTGGCAGGCTGCTCCAGGGTCCTGAATCCTTGAAATTCTGCTCACAACCCTCACAGCTATGCACTCCAATGTCCAGGAAAAAAGGTTCCTGATTCCGAAACGGGCCACCAAGATCACTAGATGATATGGGAGGGAAACTAAACTAGAAAGAGATTCAAAATGACCATTGTGGAACTCATCTGCTCACAGGTTTCCTTCTGCCTGGGACCAGGCACGTGGGGACTCTGTTTTCCAAAAGATCCAGAAAGTTGTGTGTTGCCTGTAAGTTATACTAAAAAGAATTTTGAAGCCCGAACAGCCTGTAGTGATTTGAAAACACTTTTGAAATGGTGGACAGCGTTCCCATCTCTACTGGATGAGAGTGTACAGTGTTATTTTCATCTTTGCTGTGCAGTATTTCTGCTTAGGAAGAAAACCCTCTGAAGTTACCAGGTGTACAAAATGTGCTGTTTGGGAGCGCTTCTAAGCCTGAGCAGTTGCTGCATTTTGCCCGTTTCAGTGGTGGGACTGAAGCTGAATAAATGCAGCAGAAGTATGTTTTTTCTGAATACTGAAATGAATGGATTAGGTCACTCTTCTACTTCCTTTGTGTTTCCTCTGTAAACTTTTTAGGGACCTGAGTTTGCTGTAGTTGTTTGAATTAATTTTCCAAGCAAACATTTGCAGAACAAAATTTATTATAGCGGATGGAGGTTGGGTTCCCCCCCCCTTATCATGTGGATTTTGCAAATAACAGTTAATGTGGGGTTTATCTAACCACTTACTGCTAAGGAGCAGTGTTACAATGTCTGATGGAGCGTTTTAGGCATACAGAGAATTGTTTACAACCAATCCAGAAGGGAACATGGCTGGAATAAATTTAAATAGTGAACACGGTTCTGGAAACCATTATGCAAAAAGGACTTCAGCAAATCTAATTATTTGAAATTGCAGTTTCATAAAACCTGAAAATGTGTTTAAGAAAGAGTAACTTAGAAGTGATAAATCTGTTTAATCAATTTGTAGTCTGGAAACACTATTTACTGTAAGCAGTTTACATTTTGTAGTAGCTTCTGTGATTTTCCGCCCCCCCCTGCATTCTAGCTCTCAGATAGCAGCCCCACTTTACTCATGAGAATGTTCTTTTCTTCTTTCTCTTATTTCAAAACATAAGAGGAAAATGTACAAGTTATTTTGGTTTAACCAGGCAGATTTAGTGATTTCTTTTCCCTTGTTTTCTCTGTGAGATATAACTTACTATAACTGATAATGCAGAAACCCAACCTCTAACAGCTCAGTTGGTTCCCCAGACCCTGCAGTCCAGGACACAGCATCTCTGATTTAGGATGGGACCAAACAGGATGGAGCCATGGATAATGTCATGGAGAGTGGCTGGTCCACACAAACCATGTGGAGATAGAGATCTTGTGGTGAAGATGATGTTCTCAGAGAATTAGATAATTAGTTGTTTTTTCATGTGCTACATGGTGGATCAGCAGCAGCTGAGCCAAGTGGTGGTGTGGTGCTAGAGCTTGGGTTTGGTGGTGCCAGACATGTGAGTGGACAGCAGAGACCATCCCTTACTACCCCTCTTGTGCTTACAGCTAGGCAGTATGGGAAGCAGGGCAGAAGCATCTTAAAAGGGATGAGTACTGCAGGATGCATTAAGGAAGGAAAGAGATGGAGTAGGAGAATAGAATAGACTAGACTATTTCAGTTGGAAGGGACCTACAACGATCATCTCGTCCAACTGCCTGACCAATTCAGGGCTGACCACAAGTTAAAGCACCTTGTTAAGGGTATTGTCCAAATGCCTCTTAAACACTGATGAGTCTGGGGCATCCACCTCCTCTATGGTGAACCTGTTCAAGTGTTTGACCACCCTATCAGTAAATAAACACTTCCTAATGTCCAGTCTGAACCTCCCCTGCTGCAGCTTTGAACCATTCCCACACATCCTAGGGAATGGGGGAGAAGAGCTCAGCACCTCCCTCTCCACTTCCCCTATTCAGGAAGCTGTAGACAACTATGAGGTCACCCCTCAGCCTCCTTTTCTCCAAACTAGACAAGCCCAAAGTCCTCAGCCACTCCTCACAGGACCTTCCTTCCACCCCTTTCACCAGCTTTGTAGCCCTCCTTTGGATGCATTCAAGGACCTTCGCATCCTTCTTAAATTGTGGGGCCCAGAAGAGCACACAGTACTCTAGATGAGGCCACACCAAGGCTGAACACAAGAAGGATAATATTACCCAGTATATATATATAAAAAAATATATATACCCAGTATAACCTTCTCCATAGTTTTTCCAGGAACTGAGGTTAGACAACAGGTCTGTAGTTCCCTGGGTCTTCCCTTGCCCTTTTTGTACATTGAGATAAAATTGTCCATATCCTTTGCTTTTCTTTTTGCTTACTATTAGTTATATTTTTTCTATTTATATACTAAGTTTTGTTTTCATTAAAGGAAATGTTACCAAATATGAAAAATATCAAAATCAACTACGCTGTCCATCCGGAATACCAAAGGCCACACCAAGGCTGAACACAAGAAGGATAATATTACCCAGTATATATATATAAAAAAATATATATACCCAGTATAACCTTCTCCATAGTTTTTCCAGGAACTGAGGTTAGACAACAGGTCTGTAGTTCCCTGGGTCTTCCCTTGCCCTTTTTGTACATTGAGATAAAATTGTCCATATCCTTTGCTTTTCTTTTTGCTTACTATTAGTTATATTTTTTCTATTTATATACTAAGTTTTGTTTTCATTAAAGGAAATGTTACCAAATATGAAAAATATCAAAATCAACTACGCTGTCCATCCGGAATACCAAAGTAGTAGATACTTCCATCCATAATTTGACAGAAAATGTAGAGAAAACATTTCTTATCAATGTTACTTATGCAGAAGTTGCTTGGGAGGTTGCAAAAAAGGGCTCTGAAGGTTTTAGGGTCAAAGCTCCCTGCTTTAAGAAGCATCTTTTACTTTGGGGTTCTATGGGTAAATAACTAATGAAACATTCATTTTATTGATGTACGACTCTGACCTTTTATTTCCTCAGCCATCATGTACGTGATGGGAGCGCTCGGTCCTGCAGCTGGATACTTGCTAGGAGGACTTCTTATTGGTTTCTATGTTGATCCTAGGACAACCGTTTATATTGACCAGAGTGACCCCCGATTCATTGGAAACTGGTAAGGATCGAGCATTTTTCAAAACCGCTCTCTAAACTGTGGGTGGGGAATGGGGAACTGGATGGGGACAGTCTTTTTTCAGTGGTGCCCAGGGAAAGGACAAGAGGAAACGAGCACAAAGTTGAATATAAGAAGTTCCACCTAAACATGAGGAGGAATTTCTTTCCCATGAAGGTGGCAGAGCCCTGGAAGAGGCTGCCCAAGGAGGGTGGTGGAGTCTCCTTCTCTGGAGACATTCAAACCCACCTGGACATGTTCCTGTGCAACCTGCTCTGGATGGACCTGCTCTGGCAGGGGGTTGGACTAGATGATCTCCAGAGGTCCCTTCCAACCCCATGTGATTCTGTGAATTGAGGGAATGAGAAACTGGATGGGGACAGTCTTTTTTCAGTGGTGCCCGGTGACAGGACAAGAGGAAATGGGCACAAAGTTGAATATAAGAAGTTCCACCTAAACATGAGGAGGAATTTCTTTCCTGTGAGGGGGCGGAGCCCTGGAAGAGGATGCCCAAGGAGGGTGGTGGAGTCTCCTTCTCTGGAGACATTCAAACCCACCTGGACATGTTCCTGTGCAACCTGCTCTGGGTTGACCTACTCTGGCAGGGAGTTGGACTAGATGATCTCCAGAGGTCCCTTCCAACCCCATGTGATTCTGTGAATTGAGACAGTTTGGGAAATGGTATCTCTTGAGGAGGGCTTCTTTGAGGAGGCTGAGGAAGAGGAGGTTTCAATTACTACACAGGACAGAATGCCTGTGTTGCAGGAGGTCATCGAGGATCACTGGTGCCCAGTGCTGAACCCTTCCTGCTGGAAGGTGGATTAATTCCCTTTTTTGGTTTTCCAGAGCAGGCAGCATGAAACGCTGGGCTCTGCTGCCTGGATGAGAAATGGTAGACTGTGTTTATCCTGGGCTAGGAGAAGGAGGTAGGAGGGGGTCAGAACATGACCTTGCCACTCTTGTTTCTCAAGGTGATGGCTCATGTTTAGGCAACAGATGATGTAAACCATCATATTTATTGCTAGTAAATAGCAGGCTTTCAGCAGCCTGGAGATGTAACAGCCATAATTGTTAGCTGATGTCTTTGGGCAGCCTTTGGTACGTGGCCTCCTTGGAAACGTCTTTTTGAGGAAGCAGGTCTTGAGGAGGCTCTAACTGCTTTTTCTCTGATAATTCATAAATCTGCCTTGAAATTTTTGTGCAAAGCCCAGAAAAGACTTAAGTTCATTATCCCAGGAGGAGACCTGCACTTTCTGTGTGTAGGGTGCAGTTCTCATGCGTTGGATTTGTGTTTGTGGCTGCGCCATCGCAGTCGGATCGTATCCCTTTCTATTTATCCTGCAGTCACCTCTCCTGACAGCCTGATGTGAAAAATTCTCTCTTTGGAGTCTTCTTAAGCCTTTGAAGATTTATCACTGCTTTGTTTGTCTTGCTTAGTCCAAGAGCGTTGCTGCACAGCACTTTCTGGTTGAATTTTCAGCGAGAGAAAGGCAAACCTGAGTGCTCAGTTAACCTGTGACCTTGGGGTTAACGACTCCGGGCTCTCATCTATGTACACATTTGTTCACAGAAAAGATTTGTCATGTGGATGTGCCACTGTGTTAAAAAAAGTGCTTTGACTATTCTTGAGTAAAAGCAAAATATTATACATTCTTCGTAAAACTCTTCTGTTTCACGTGTTTTTTAAGGACATGTCAGAACTGGTAGCCAGCATCTGCTCTGTACTTCTCAGATGAAATCATAAAGTGAGCTGGCCCATAAATATATTTAATAATTGAAATCAGTGGGGCTGTATGAATGTGGGGTAAGCTTTACTTTTCGCTCCATCTAGAATGCAGCCACTGATGTAGGTGCTTTATAGGGTGGGCAGATCTGTGTGAGTTTTAACTCAACAGCTTGAGTGAAGGTAAAGTAACCAAAGCAGCATGGACAGGCAAAAAAGTATAGCCAAAAAACCACCTATCCTTGCTCTCATGAATTACAGGTTTAACTGCCCTCCCTCAGAAGAGTGAGTGGCAGGGATGGATCCCCAGTGTCCTACAGGAGTACTGTAACCACAGAGCTCCATGGTAAGGAGTTGTGAGAAGTTCACCTCTTACAACCATGTCTGTGGGCAGGCTTTGAGAATATCTGCTGTACTGGAGCTTGCAAGTAAAATCGGGAAAAGAGCCTAGTTTGGGCATTTGGAAGATTTTATGTCAAATTGTTAAATGCATTTTATATATCTCCAATATTTAATGACACCTGAACAAAATATCTTGCTGTTATTTTGGGTGTCAGCAGAAGTGATACAAATATGACGGAAGCAAGGGCAGGAAATTGGCTGTAAATAGGATCTCAGCAGGCAAATTGTATTCTAACCAACATAAAGAAGTAAAAGTCATTCAGTTTCCTCTTTCCATCATATGGAGACTGGATTTCCCTGAAGGGTGTTCCAGGTCCTTGTATTACTTTATCATTTTTGGCTCTTTCAGTTTTTTTCTCTCTTTAATTTCTAAAAAACTATCCCCTGCTCATTTTTGGCTCTTTCAGTTTTTTTCTCTCGTTAGTTTCTAAAAAACTATCCTCTGCCATCAGATCTGTAGCGATAGGATGAGGGGTAATGGCTTTAAATTGAAAGAGGGAAGATTTAGATTAGATTTTAGGAAGAAATTCTTTGCTGTGAGGGTGGTGGGACCCTGGAAGAAGTTGACCCGAGAAGCTGTGGCTTCCCCATCCCTGGAGGGGTTCAAGGCCAGGCTGGATGGGGCTTGGAGCAACCTGGTCTGGTGGGAGGTGTCCAGGGCAGGGGGTTGGAACTCAGTGGTCTTTAATGTCCCTTCCAACCTGAACTGTTCTGTGATTCTATGATCATCTCTGGTAATTTGTTTCACAATCTCTGGTGGCCTCTCATAAAAGTTTGGTGGTGGTCATCATGAGGCTCCACCTCATCCTCATTTCTTGTTCTGAAGCTTTGTCTGCCCATTAAAGGGAAGACTGATGGTGTGAGGACTGGTCCTTTGTCCCTTGCTGCTCGCTGGCTGCCTGATCACCGAGAGCTCTGAAGTGTAGACTTTCATTCCACTGAAATCTATTTTCTGGGACTGTGACATTTTCTCCTTGGAGGGAAGTGCTGCGTAGCCAAGTTTATTTTTATTTATGTAATCTACCAATTTGAAATATAAGAGTAGTCTAGCGCTTACTTCAGCTGACACACTTTTTAAAAGTAGGGTGCAGTTGAGATAAGTTAGTGGGAAGTCGTATTTGAGATTTCTGAGTCTTGTCTCCTTTGAAGTGTCTTAATGTCTTTCCTTTATTCTAGCTGTAAGTTTCTGACATAACTTATCGCAGGGACCCAGTGGAAAAATTTGGTTATTAAAGGAGGTAATGATTACAGATAAAGTAGTAAGTACCACAACTATGATATATGGCAATAAAAATGACAGTAAAGCCTGTTTTTTAACTTAAGCTGTTCCTTTCTAGGAGGTATATTGCATACATGCAGGACAGGTAACTCGGTTTATCTCTTGTGAAACCTGACAAACAAAGTAAGTGGTTATTTCTCAGAATTATTTCTGACCTGATTCTTCCTCGAGTTTCCCAGAAGTTGGGTTTGTGCTCCTGGGATTTGCACACCTGGGCTTTCTGCAGGTGCTGGGGGCTAAATTACAGGCCAGCTGTCTGTGCCAGCCCATCGAACGTTTAAAGCTGCTTTTTATTCAAATGTGGTGACTGTGGGGATGTCTGTTAGAAATCATCCATCACGTTGTTGCCTTTGAGAACTGTTAATCTGCTACACGGGGATCTCATTAGCTGAGGAGTAGCCCTTGGCGCTCTGTCAGGTGCTTTGAATCAAGTTTTCTTTCGCTGACACTTTTCTGAGTGTTTGCCTGTTTCTGAATCTCTTTAATACTTGGATCTTCCCCTGTAGTCTTTCATCAGCATTCCACGTAAGAAGTTTAAAGGAATTCCTCCAGCACCGTCTGGTCCTTCCTTAGCTTTAATTGCTTTTATTTGAGGTCCTAGGGCTTGTGTAGGTGCCTTTGAGGTATTCTCCCCCATATTTTCCTTTGACAGACAGAAAATCAAGGGCATTTTAATTAATACAGATCCTGTTCTGACCTCTCATTTCCCGTTGTAGGTGTCCTTATTATTTTTCATATTGTCTTTTGCCTGTTTTCCAATTCTTTGATATTTCTCCAGGAAGATGGGAAGTGTAGACGGTGCAGATAATTGCATCCAGTCCTGCCTTTGTGACATCTCCAGCACTCGGTGTGCTACTGTAATGGTCCCTTTGGATTTGAATTTCATCTCGTGCTACATCACAGGCCCCCGGCTCCTTTGCTGTTTCCTGCTGAGCGGGTGGTTTCGGATTCCTGTGTATTATTGTCACTGATCGTTTCTTTGATCGGTGCCTTTGCAGCTTCTGCCTTTGAGCTCCTGGAAAGGATGTTACTACATTTTTATACAGTCTACCCATTTATTCCCTGTCTGATAGTGCTGACTAATCCTCCTAAAAGTCTGCTTTCTAATCCATGTCTGTTATCAGCTGAAATGAATGAATAGAGGATTTTCTGTTTACATAATATCAAAACCGGTCAAAACTTTCAGGAAATGAATGAATAGAGGATTTTCTGTTTACGTAATATCAAAACCGGTCAAAAGTTTCAGTCTCTCAGATTTGCCTCCCAAAAGCTTCCTGTACAACCTTTCTAACAAAAATGATGGTACACTTGGCTGTTCATTGGGTGTTTGTGTTTGTATAACCATTTACCCCACACACCAATACACACACACATGAATTTACCTTCATTTAAAAATGCAGTTTGCAATATCTTTGCATTACAAATATGAGGCCACGTGGTTTTGCTTCTTGTGCAAGTATCAACACTCGGTAGTGAATAATTACCAAAAGCAAAAATGTACAGGAACTCAAAGCTGACACTATTTCATAATATTTAGTGGCTTTGGGATAAATAGCTTTGTCAATAGACAAGCCAAGAGAAATGTCTTCTAATTGAGGGTTTCAGTGCGGGGAGAGCTCTCCCCCACTTCAGTCCCTTACTCTTAATGTCAACGTTCTATATTTTGCAAATAGGTATTTTCAGCCAGTACAGCCTGTAATAATCACTTTGGGTTTTTTTTTATTTCATGTAATGCTTTTGCTTTTATTTCTGTTCCTGTCTCCTGGCATTAGGTGGAGTGGATTTCTCCTTTGTGCCATTGCAATGCTCCTTGTGATATTTCCCATGTTTACCTTTCCGAAAAAGCTCCCTCCTCGACATAAAAAAAAGAAAAAGAAAAAGAAGATGAACTCTGATGATGTTTCAAGTGATGACGAAGTCATGAAAGAGAAAACAAATAGCAAAATACAAGCAGACAGTGCGGTTCCTGCCTCCATGGGATTTGGAAAGAATGTTAAAGGTGAAGTTTGTTTTTAATTTTTAAATGCCGTAAATTTTGTGCACAGGATTGTATGAATTTAATTGAAGGCAGAGTTTTGACATTCAGTATTTAACACTAGTTTTGGTATTGAGATTTTAATAGATGGTCATACTCTAAAATTGCAAAATACAGTGACGAGTGTAAGACCCATTGACTTAAACTGTTGAAGTGTTTTTGAAGTGTTTAATGTGTGCCTGTAACAAACAAGTAGCTTATTTCCTGTAGTTATAAGACCTCTAATATCGGGCATATTTGTGCACCTTACAGTTTGTAACTGTCATACTTTCTTCCAGTTGTCCTTCATAGAATAAAGTGCTCTTCTAAAATATATGTGAAACAAGTAAACACAATCCTAGTATGTGGGTTCAATTACATTCACGTGTTTGGCTAAGTTAATTGAGAAAAATTGTTAGTTTCATATGCTAGCTGTTTTTTGCTGCAAGCTATTTGTTTTTAGAAGGAAAGGAAGGAAGAAGGAAACCTGTGCTAATTTTGAAACAAGAAGAGATCAAAAGATTGATAAGTAATAGAGGTTTTTATTTTATTTAAGAAGCAAACCATTAATGTGAAACCTAACAGTAGGTGGTAATCACTGATAAAATGGCGTGGGAAGAAGGGCAGTGTTGTTAAAAATTAATTTATGTGAATGAAACGTATACATCTGGAGTTGACAGTAAAGGCTTGACAGCATCAAAATATTGAATAGTATAGGACAAGAATGAATGTGCCTTAATGCTGTTGTGTTGCTGATGCTGTTGTGTCGCTGATGCTGTTGTGTCCTTCTTGGATTCCATGATACAAATGCTGGTTGTGCTGTTTTGTGGTTGCCTGATGAATGCAACGGGAGTAGGAGAAACCATGAAATGTCATTGGTACTATTAGATGTAATTTGAACTTAAAATTTTGTTTGTTTGTTGACATGAACATGCTACATTGGCTATCAGCCCAGCTTATAATTATCAGTAGTTTTTTTAATGACACATTTATGATCACTATCACTCTTTATATTGAGTAAGCAAGGCTTAGCAAAAGCAGTGTGCTGATTTTAGACTAAAACCAGTGTAATTCTCAGTAGTGTGTGCCCACATGCATATTGATTTGTTTCACATTGCATTTACATCTGTACTCTCAGGCTACCTAAAGTTATTCTTTAAGTGAAAAAAAACAGAAGACCAGGATTTGCTTGTGGTGATTTTTATTAGCACAGAGCAAGTGAGGTAAACTTGCAATATCAGATCTTTCAGAATCATGTTCTCCCTTTGCAAAGTAGCTCAGAAAGTGGTGGAAAAGCAAGAAAAAGAATGCTGCCTACTTCCTTCTTTGAAGACTGTCTATTCCCTGTATTTGTGAGTCCCCCTACATAATGCATAAAGTTAGTTGTAGGTTTTTTTGGCAAGAAGTAGCTCAGGGCTGCTCCTTTGGGGGTTTTCTTACTGACTTAGGGAAGTGAGAAAGGGAAATTCAGTCTTGCTGGGCTCCTTCCTAATCCTTCCAGGAAACACCACAGCAGAGGGGCTGCTTCATCCCGTAGGTGTGCCTGGAAAAGATACGGATGTTCAGACAAACTCCATGGCTGGATGAGTTTGCTAATGATGGTTCTCTGTTTCTGTACATACTTTCACCTTCCAGGTCATGTTGTGGCACTAGAGGCATGGCAGATACACAAGTATACTTTTAGGAGAATGTTTTCTACCACAGAAATGAAAACTACTATATATCTTATTTTACCATGTATTTTTTTATATATATCTGCCTAAATGTGTGCCATACCTACTACAAAACCCTATATAAATATATTAATGGAGCCATCAAATTAGAGCGTCTCATAATCAAAACTTTTCATTTCCTCTAGAAGAGAAACTTCACCATGTGGAGCAGTGAAAGGCAGCATTGTATTCCACCTGTCAGAGAAATACCAAGGAAGCTGAGATAACGCAGGGAAAAAAAGTATTTTGCTATAAGCTGATAATAGCTTTCCCATTAGGTGTCATTTACCCGAGCAAAGAGGGCCTGCAGCAGGAATGCACTATCATTTAATTATTTTTCAAGTTTAAGTGAGCTTTATGGAATGAGATCATGCCTGAAGCTTCTCAGTTGAGGTAATTTCGTTTATAATGGGAAGGAAAAAAGGATCGCATGCGTCTAAGTCATTTAGCGTTGCTTCTTCTGAGATGCAATGTACATTTTATACTTCCCCTTGAATTTCAGAGCTTCGTCTTTTTATAGCACGATGGGCAGAAACTCCACTTAGGCAGTAGCTGGGAGTCTTGATGATTTAGTAGGTCATGTCTTCTGTTCTGTACTAATAAATATCAGTGATGTTGTAGTCTGCCATGACAGGGGTCAGTGCCATTAAATCTGTAAAATCCCTACAGCTTGGGTAAGGAAAGTCCCATGGAAGAAGCTGTTTGTTTCGATCTTCTGATATGGTGGTGTCTAACCTGGGAAGCCTGGAAAAGTTATTCTTGTCCTGCTGTATCTTGTCATAATTTAACAGAAGTTAGTTCTCTAGGTGAGTGAAAAGGAATTGGAAAGGTATGATGGGAGCAGAACGGGGTCTTTATTCCTGCAGTGGCTGCCAATATAAGCTGAAGAAATAAACCAAAACTGGCTCCAGTTGCAAACCTCCAACTTCAGTGACCTGAGCTTTATTTTGGCCCATGGCAGAGCTGGGATCAGATAAAAATACAGATACATATCCTTGCATTTCTTCATGTTTCGAGATGCAGGGGCTTGAAATTCAGTCTTTTCCTGTCTGCGTTGCAACTAAAGAAAGTGAGAGGGAGATTACTTCTTATGCAGGTATCAAAAGTATTAAATAAAACATTAAATAGGTCACAGGAGGAAGACAATTGGATGCGGTTTGTTGGGAGAAATAGAGGTAGTGTAGATAACATGAGCTAGAGGAGATTTATAACGAAGAAGCGGCGGTTCAATCCCATACATGCAGATAAATCAGGAAGCTGAGCAGACAAAACCACTGTTTTCATTTATTACATGGATATCTTTAGGGTTTTGTGCCATGGAAATTGTATCTGCAGTCCCTTTACTTACCACTATAATGAAACTTACTGTGCAATTAGATAAAGGAGCGGTGTAAAGAAAACTGATGAATATATTACCTAAAATGTGCTGATCTAATCTGAAGGGTGTTAATTATTTGTATTTTGTAGTCTTTGGTTTTCTTTTTAACATTTTGAGTTTTGTCCCTGTGTACAGCCCTTTCCTTAAACGTGAAATATTCCTGTCTGCCTTTTCCCATCTACCAGCTGTCCTATGCCCTTCCCAGTCAGTCCCTGCTGGGGATGGGGACAGAATAATAACGCTTGTCAGGGCACCAGCAAAGGTAGAAGGAACTCCTGAGGGGCTCGTGGCTGCAGGGTAAGTCCATGGAAGTGCTTCCCCATCACAGGAGCTGGACTGGAGTTTTGGCAGTACCTGGAGATGAGTTGGCAGGCATCAGAAGAGGAGGAGGAGGAGGAGACAGTGATCTGTGAGGGCTGTAAATGTCAGGGAGTTCAGCAGAGCGTGGGCTGGAGATCCTGCTGGGCCACTGACCTTGAGCGAGTCGCCTCCCCCCCTCGCCCTTTCTTAGGCCATCTTGAGGAGCTCAAAATAGAAGGGGTTGGCACGGCCCCGTGCAGCGATGAGCAGTGTTAGCTGGAGCCACGAGGACCTGCTCTAAATCAAGTTAAGGGAAGTAATGATCAGATCAAACTCACTCCCAACCTCCCTGCTCTTGGTGGGATATCAAGGGCTGTTCAATGGTCTGGCCACCACCCAGGTAGTTAAGGCATGTCCTGAAAATGCTTCAGGAATCAAACTTAATTACATTGTTTAAATGGTATGTGAGTAGATAATGAAGTGAAATGCACGACAAAATATTATTTTAGAATTTAGTGATTAGCTCTGTGCAGAATATATTTGAAGTAGTCATGTGTGACTGAGAATTGGAAGGGACCTCTGGAGATCACCCAGTCCAACCCCCTGCCAGAGGAGGGTCACCCAGAGCAGGTCCCACAGGAACGTGTCCAGGTGGGTTTGAATGCCTCCAGAGAAGGAGACTCCACCACCTCCCTGAGCAGCCTCTTCCAGGGCTCTGCCACCCTCACAGGAAAGAAGTTCCTCCTCGTGTTTAGGTGGAACTTCTTATATTCAAGTTTGTGCCCATTTCCTCTTGTCCTGTCACTGGGCACCACTGGAATTCTGTCTCAAATCTCAGCTCTGTCTTTGTGCTGCTCAAGAGCAGAAGCTGCCCCTGGGATCTTGATGTGGAGACAGCCTCCTTCAAAGCTGCAGACATAGGTAGTACTGACCAGACGTGGAGAACCAGCAGAAAGGAGGTCTTTTGGCTAATACCTGCATCACCCTTACAGGGGGTTTTGCTGATGGGCACAGTGCTGTACCTAATACCTGCATCACCCTTACAGGGGGTTTCGCTGATGGACTGCAAGGACAGTGCTGTAGACTGGGATGGTTTATTCCCCTCTTTGTATTCATTGCACCACCTTGGGTTACATGCACAGGAACAGGGATAAAAGAAAATATATTAAATTATAAAAAAAAGGATGTGATTTTATTGAAATTCCATTTACAGTGCTTTAAGACTTTTGTTCAGAGCTCTATTTGTGAATATTTGTATTGTTTCCATATTTTTCTTATGCTTTTCCCTTACCATGGGTCAAGCAGTGGTCCAGCAGATGAGTGAAAGAAAATTAATACTGACTAGAGAAAAAATATTGTCAAAGACCATGAAAGGAAGAAAATTGTCAGTAGACTAGCAAACCAGTCAGCCAAAAGATGGTTTTTGAAGAGCTGTTAAAAATGAGAACCTGACAGGTTCAATAATGGCCTTGAAATCAAATCCTAGGCCTATGGCTATTACACAAAAATAATGTGACACTGAAATGTTTTAAATGCATGATTGATTATGTAGTACAAAGGATCCTTAAAGTTTTGAGCGTTCTTGCTTTTTACCAGAATTAGTATGGTTGAAAGATACGAGATACTTATAGTGCCTTTTTATTGTAGTTTTTTTAATTTAGAAGTGTAATACAGATTCTGTCACACAGGATTTGATGATGATCATAAGGGGAAATCAGGGAAAACCAAATTTTGAATATGTATTTTTATTTCTTTACTTTATAGCAACTTTCCCTTGTGTGCCAGACAGTTCTGATTTATAAGTCACAAAGAGCTTCCACCCTCAGCTGCTCCAGGTGGTGTGTGTTAGTGCAGTATGCAGGAATCAGCTTTTATTTCTTGCCAAAAATTACAGTAATCAGGAGAGCTTTTCCCTGAAGAATCCATCACACGGGTGAAAGACAACTTGTGCTTGTTCCAAGACACTGAGTTTTATCTATTTATCAGTAGAAATCCAATTTGAAAATACTAATTAGTTTTGAAATTAATAGTGACCTTTAGACTGAGTGCTGAGATTAGATGCAAGTAGGAGTCAACAGAAAGCACAGCTCTACATCTGAACACCAGAGCAAAACACTAATTAGCTCTGCAGTTCTTTACCTTATTAGTTCTTCGGTATCTTTAGATCCAAAATTCTAAACCAGACATTTTCCTGAAGCTCATTTTTACCAGGAAGACCTAAACTTTACCATATATTATTATAGCTGGACCAGGCCCTTTAAAATAATTGATTTAGCAAAGATCTTGGACTCAGCCCTTGGCCAAGGACTTCCAGTTCATTTCTATGAAAAGCACTTAGTTCACCATCCTAATAAAATGATATTTTACTCCATGATGTCCAGTCTTCTGAAAGTTACTCTCTTACTATTTTCTTTCACACTTTTTCAGCCCAGGGGAGCAGCTGCCACCAAATAGAATCATAGACTCATAGAATGGTTTGGGTTGGAAGGGACCTTAAAGACCTGACTCCTTTCTCACGGGGGCAGCTGGAAAGTCATCACCGCTTGTTCCTGTTGCAGGGGGAGAAGCACTCAATCCCACACTTTGTCCTGAGGGAAATCCTGGTACAGCTGCCCCTCTGTGGCCCTATGGTAGCCATTTTCTTAAATGGTGTTATCTAGACCCATGAAAGGCTTTGCAAAAGGTGTGTTAGAGCATCTTGGTTTCTTTTTGCATCTAAGCCCCCATCAGCTAATCCAACCCAACCAAAAAACAGACACAAAACCAAAGCTGGTGAACTCTGAGGGCTGACATCTGATGGTATTGGAGGTCTCTCATTTTTTTTCTCTCTCTCTCATTTCTGTTTGAACAATGAGGTGAATTTTGATCAGCTCTATTTTGAACATGTGGCATAATGTGCCAATAAATCCCGATACTGTTTTATCTTTGTACCTGCTCCTGTAATGTGGTTTCTGAAGGGGTACAGCTGCATTGCAGTTTCCATATATTCATGTTGGTATTATATAGTCTCATACTCCTGTTATCTTGTTTCTTTCTGTTCTTTATTGGGAACAGTGCCACATTTCTTTTTTTTTAAAAGCTGTAGGTTGTAAAAAACATTAAGATTCAAATATATGAGTGCTTCTTAATATGATTTATTCATTACTTATTTCCACCAAGTTCTGTATTTAACATTTAACATGTTTCTTCATGGAGGCAGCAAGAGAGCATTTGGCTATATTAAAATTATAAACCCTCTACTCTTAATGAATTCAGTATAAATTTTGACGACTGGCATAAGCTAAGACTGGGTGCAGGCAGACAACTTAGGTGCTAATTAGCAGCCTGACAAGTTTTGACATGACAAGAGTCTAAATCCTGTTTGCTTTTATACAGATAACCTACTGGAGTCGATGGAGCAAGTGAGACAGATTTTTGACACGACAACTTTTAATATCAATAAAATTCTCACTCAGGAGTTCTTACTCAACATGTTGTATTTCTAATGGGCGCTCTTGTCATTGAATTCAATGGGCTTTGATTCAAGCAGCTTTCGGTTTCTGTGTGAAGTGAAAAGCAAATGAAAAAACCCAAGCCATAGTAGGTTAGATATAATAGTTGAACAGAAAATCTGATCTCAGTAGAAGTGCCAAGGAAAAAAAAAAAAGTTTAAAATCACACCATTTAATCTGAAAAAAATTAAGTCTTGAATAGAGTTATCATTATCTTGTGATGATAATTTGGCATCGCTACAGGACTGAATTAAAAGTATTTAAATGTTTCTGTTAACTACAATGCTGAATGTCATGGGGTTTTGATATTTGGTTTGAGGATAAATGCAACATCTATGAATACTTTTTCAATTTAAGTTAATGACATGCTCTCATTTTTAATTGTTTTTATCCCTTCTGAGAATGTAATCTGTATGTAAGGTATGTTGAGATTCACTGATACCATTGACATCGTTTTGTCAGTATGCTGTCTACACCTATTGTAAATACTTTTAAATCATGTAGAAAAACGTTCAATTAAAAATCTTTTACTTTCCTTTTCAAGGGAATAACGCTATTATTCCAGCTTTCCAAGCGTGGTCCTTGAAGCAGAGAGTTACAGGAGGAGTATTTGATCTGTTTTCCTCCTGTGGAGTGCAAATTTCAAAATCAGACACCAGAATAATTCCAAAATCACTACCTTTTATTTCAGGTTTTCTCTCCTTGATAGTATTACTACAAATACCCTGTTTCTTCAGACAGTTTTCTTAAAACAGACCTGAGATTGTGTGCCCTCTCCTTTTGCTCTTACCAAATGTAGCCAGACCCTAGCGAGCCATTATTGCCAGCCCATCGCAAAGAAAATCGATTTGTTTCAGTTTGCTTTTCTTTCTTGCTCATTATTTATAACATCCGTTTGTCATTTTTGTCATTTTATAGAGCTTCCAAGAGCAGCTGTCAGGATCTTAAGCAACATGACATTCCTTTTTGTGAGTTTGTCATACACAGCTGAGAGTGCCATTGTCACAGCTTTTATTACCTTCATTCCCAAGTTCATCGAGTCACAGTTTGGCATCCCAGCTTCCAATGCCAGCATCTACACTGGTAAGGCACTGCCACGGAGCGTAACGTTGAAAGAGTTGGTGTTCTTTGACTAATGAAATGAATAGATGTTGGAATGAACCAAAAATGTGTTTGTCAGAACAGGTGGTTGGATCCAGCTTTGTGTGTTTGCTTAGATATTCAGGCTGTTCTTTGATGTTTGCTATATGTGTTTGGTAAAACGTGAATGCATTTATATTGTTAAAGGGCTGGGTTTTTTTACATAAGCCTAGACAGACATGTTAATGGTCTTCATGGAGGAAAAATGCAAGAACAACAAGCTAGAAGACCCACAGCCATTATAAGCCTAGACAGACATGTTAATGGTCTTCACAGAGGAAAAATGCAACAACAAGCTAGAAGACCCACAGCCATTGCTGTGGACCTTAAGAGATCTTTTAAGGCTGCTCTTATTTTGCATGAATTTTACTTTGTCTTTATCTTTAAAATATTCTAATCTTTCTTATTTCCACAGTGATGAGTTGTTTATCTGTCCCATCCTTCAGTTATCTCTTCTTTCCAGGCTGGTGGTTTTCTCCTTATTTACTTAGTAGCATTGAGTGCACAATGATCTAGTCTAGTCAGTAGAGCTCCCTGAATCCTCTCCCACCTGCCATTGCAGGGCTGAGGCCCCTCTTTTGCAGATGAGGCACTTCATAGAATCATAGAATGGTTCAGGTTGGAAGGGACCTTCAAGATCATCCAGTTCCAATCCCCCTGCCCTGGGCAGGGACACCTCCCACCAGACCAGGTTGCTCCAAGCCCCATCCAGCCTGGCCTTGAACCCCTCCAGGGATGGGGCAGCCACAGCTTCTCTGGGCAACCTGTTCCGGTGTCTCACCCCTCTCACAGCAAAGAATTTCTTCCTGAGATCTCATCTCAATCTCCCCTCTTTCAGTTTAAAACTGTTCCCCCTCGTCCTATGGCTCCCCTCCCTGATCCAGAGTCCCTCCCCGTCTCCCCTGGAGCCCCTTTAGGGACTGGAAGGGGCTCTGAGGTCTTCCTGGAACCTTCTCTTCTCCAGGCTGAACAACCCCAACTCTCTCAGCCTCATAGGAGAGGCTCAGTCCTCTGAGAATCTTTGTGACCCTGCTTCCCCTGCTGCTGCAACAATGTGCAGCCAAGTCCAACTTCTAACAGAGCTACAAACCACAAAATTTTGAGTTTCATACTGCTCTACGGGAGGGATGGGAACTTGCCCAGGGAAAGGGGACAGAACGTGGTGCGGAATTGGGGCCCACGTCATGCAGATAATCCTTCTTTTCTCCTAGTTGCATCAAAGCCACTTGTCTTCATAAGCATCTTTGACTTCTTCATAGTGCTTCCCATATGAAATAGCTGGTAATTGCTAGGCCAGTTAGTTCTTTGCTCTTTTATGCTTCTAGATATTGCAACTGAGAAGGAGTGATGGAGTGGAGAGTGAGTTGTGAGAACAGGGCTGAAGTATGGGGTGCAGCTGCCCGGGGGCATCAGCCAAGGAAAAGACAAAAAGTTGTAGAAGAAGGAGAGAGAAAGACACAGACACCTCACATGGGAATAATTTGTCATCTGCAGTGGCTGGAAGAGAAGAGAGGAGTCTTTCTAGGATGCAGGGGGGAAATATCAGAGAAGCACCATGTGGTGACTTCTGTTTGAGAGCTTGCTGAAGAAAATCTTATCCGATTTTCTTCAGGGCATGAAATCCCTGTGTTCTGTATGTGAGGAGGAAACTCTGATTGATGGGGCCATGATTCCATCTGAAGCTTTGGGTAGATACACATGCATAGGAGTTTTGCTGTAATGAATCTTGATGGGATATGCTTCTCCATAACTCGCTTGGTTCTCGGGACAAATCAGAAACATTCTTGCCAGACAAGACATTCAACAGCCAGTATGTTAAAACAGGAAAAAATGACATGACCCTATCCAAGGTGTGAAGCTATTAACCCTGCTATAAATTGCTTGATAAAGACTATTATAATCTATTAACCCTGCTATAAATTGCTTGATAAATACTATTATAATGAAGCAGCAAAAGAAGAAGAAATAGCTGGATGTGCAACACAGACAAGTGAGCACTGCAACCCCAAATCCTCTACTTAGCATTAAAGTCAGCAGTTGTTATTAATTGTATTAATTCTTTTTGTAGGATTAATAGGAAAAGGAAACTCAGAGATTCTGTATTAGACTGCTACAGGCTCATCTAATAAAAGGCATGTCCAGTTTACAGGCTTCTGGTTAGCAAAGGGAGGAGTTACATGTTATTTATATTACAACATCTATAATCCACATGTACATCACCAGCTGAGTACATGTGCTTGCTGAATCTCTTCATGTTACTGATGTAGATTTTTTATTGGTCATTTTCCATCTCAATTCATAAGCAGGAATTCTTTAATTAAGTCTCAATTTGCTTCTGTTTTTAAACAAACCTGGCATTAATCTTCAGTAAAAATGCCATGTGCCAAACTTCACGTCTTGCACTTGTGCCTCTTGCGCTGCAGCCTTGTCTGGTTTGGAGTTTTGTGTTCTGTGTATAGAGCAGGTGACAATCAGCCAATCAGGCTTTTTCAAGTCCAAAAAACCCCCAAAAAAGCAAAAAACCTTTGACTTTTGGTTACAGGTAGATCTTAGACAAATCCAGGTTAAAATTTCAGGTCCTTTGCTGGTGGATTTACTTATGAAAAAGAGAGTTACAATTCAAATAATTTGTAGCTGGAAGAACTGCCCACTATCTGTTATGAAGTAGTGCTCTGTTACCTTCTGCTAAAATGGTTATGAACGCATTCCATCTACCTTTAGTTCTAGACAAGATGTAACATGTGTCTCAGACAGAATTGGTTTGAAGATCTCCACGATATTCCCTTTGGAGGTGTAGCCGGCTTAGCAGATATTGCAGTTTTCTGTTCCCCGGACCATTAGTAGCTGTTAAGATCATCTTTTTGCTGCGGTGGAAAGCCTCGAGTGCTGCAGAATCCTGACAACAGCAAAAAGGACAAAGCCTGAAAATTGCTGACGGAAAGCTGATATTGCCTGGGAGGGCTCTCGCCAGGGGTGTGTTTGGCACAGGCACAATTCCCGTAAGCCAAACTGTCATAAAATGAAGGAGAGAGCCACGCAACAGCTTAGTATCAGATCTTAAGCTTGATTCCTCTAAATGCCTTTGAAAAAGCAGAGTGCGTGTCCTGATGAGATGTACAAGCATCGCTTTGCCCTGGAAGCTCATCTGGGAGTGCCCTGTGGTGGCTGCGTTTCTCTGACAGAGCATCACTTCTGATCTCACGTCTCCTGCGGAAAGAGAGGGGCAGGAGGATGAGGAGTTTGTACTCAGGGCATAAGAAACCTGTCAGGCTTCCTGACACGTCAGAGGGAATGAGCTCTTCTCTCTGCTGCCTTCACCAGAAACACTGAAATCACAGAATCACAGAATCTTCTAGGTTGGAAGGGACCTTAAAGATCATCTTGTCCAACCGTCAACCTAACTGACAAAAATAGACACCCACACAACAAACAAGGAGCATCATCACTAAACCATACCTCCCAGCACTACATCAACCCGTCTTTTGAACACCTCCAGGGATGGTGCCTCAACCACCTCCCTGGGCAGCCCATTCCAATG